CCCCCCAAAGTTATTCTTCCTCTTTAAAATAATAATTAAAAAAAAAAAAATTCTAAAGACCCAGCTCCATTTTATTGACAGAACAGAGATAAGACATGAACTTCAGTCTCCTCCCCTTCACATTGCAGCCTCAGGGCCTGCAGGCCAGCTCTGCTCCTCTCCACCTACAAACAGGAAGCCTCATAGTGACCTTTTGTAGGCGATTTGGGAGGGGAGGGGAAAGTATTTGCATATATCTATATATATAATTAATTTAAAAAAAACCCAAAAAACAACAAACTTGCATTTTACACATTTCTGTTAACAGTAGCCCAGCGTGGATTCTCACATGTTACACGTTTGTGCTAGAAGAGTGAAAAAAAAAATAAAAATAAAAATGCAGAAGCACAGTTTGGGTCCCTAGTGAAGAGGGAGGGAGAGGCACAACCAGAATGTGAAGGGTGGGACACAATAGGGTAAGCTTAAAAAACAAAAATAATTAAAAAAAGGGGTTGTGGGGGGGAATGCAGGAAGAAAAAGAACAACAAACCCGAGGGGTATTATTCCAGTCTAGGCACAAAAAATGTTTCAGTCTCAAAAAATCTCTTTCCTGTAAGAATTCCAGGGCTTTTGAGGAGGGGGAAGGGGAAGGGGGAGGGGAAAAAAAAAAAAAAGAAAAAAAAAAGAAACAAATTAAAACGAGGTAGCCAGACATCATATATATATTTATATATATAGAATATATTCAGCAGAAAAAAAAAATGTACTTAAAAATCCACAAGAACAGCAACTTCAAATGTCTTTAAAAATAAAACCGTGTAAGAAAATGAATACTGTAAATAGGAGAATGAATGAGGAAAACTGGGATTGGTTACAGGACGTAAGCAAGGGATAGATGGGAGTAAAAGGCTGGTTTTGTAGCAGTAATTTTTTTTATGCATTTCAAAATTAAAAAAAAAAAACCCCAAAAACAGGTCACAGTATCTCAAAATGAAGCAGAAATGAAGCTGGAGATTCTTCCTGAAGTCCACTGGCTAGAGGGGAGCTAGCCACCCCTTCTACCCACTCACCCCCGACCCAAACAGGAAGGGATATGTCGCTGGATATGTCTATCCCTGTTGCCAAGAAAAAGGAGGGAGGGGAAGAAAAAAAAAAGGAAAAAAGAAAGAAAAAAAGAAAAAAAAAAAGAAAAAAGGGGGAATGATGAAAGGGAAGACGAGTTTTGATAACTCTCAGTGTTCCCCAGCACAAGGGAAGGCTGAAGAGACTGGGGTCTGTGTCCAGTCCCCACAGAGACAGGAGAAGGAGGAAATGTTATCTTCAGCTCCAGTAGAGAGATGAGGAGAGAGAATGGAGTGCCTAAGCTTTTCCATGAACCACAGTGCAGGATGACACGGAAACATACTGACAAAAAGGAGAGGCTGTAGCTATCCCTAGTCTCAGTGCAGTGGAGAACTGGAATAGTGGGAGGTTGTATCCACCCACAGCAGAGAATAACATGGAACTGGAGATTTGAAAATAAGATTTAAAATAAAATAAATCATCAATGTACCTAGGGAGCAGTATTTCTGTCACAATTCCCAGTTGACAGGGGAGGGGCAAGCGCAGAGGTGGAATGGTTATGTTACCAAAAGCTGTGTCTGTGCCCAGCGCAGGATGTGACTGGGTGGCTGGGTACATAAATGTAGCTAGGAAGCCTTTTCTGCTGTTGTTATTGTTTGTTCCCATCTCTATTCCCACTCTCCTTTTATAGAAACCAAAAATAATCTATTCTGAATACATGGCAGAACAAGGGTCTGTCTTTCTTTCTCCATCCTTAGTGCAGGAAGGGATGGAATCGGGGAGTGGGGATCAAGAGGGGTGTTTCTAGCCCCAGTGTGTAACAGTGTGGGCTTCTACCTCTTCTGTGGGGAAGGAGGAGTTCTGTCTCCCCAGCATGGAGCTGGAGCCATGACCTGGAAAAAGGATAGGTGCTTTCTCTCTCTCCTCCTACCCCACTCCTTCCTCCTCCTCCTCCAGAGCAAGGGTGGGTAGGCAGGCAGCACAGAAGGGTTGAGGATGCACTCTCTTTCTCTATGTTCCTCCCTGCGGTGCCAGGGTGCGTGGGTAGCATGGCTCTGTGCGTGCCCCTCTCTCTCCTCCGTTGCAGCAGTCAGTCAGTCAGTGAGTCCCTCCAGAGGAGATGGAGGTCTCGTGGTGCCCCCCTCCTCTCACCTGACCTTCTCACTCTCAGTCATTTCCCAAAGTCCCAGGTTGAGCACCTTGAGGCAGGGCAGCTGGGTGATGCGCTCCAAGCCCCGCTTGGTAATGCGGGTACAGCCGTAGAGATCGATGCCCGTCAGCTGGCTGAGGTGTTCGGCGATGAGCTCCAGGCCCTTGTCGGTGATGCGGACGCACTGGCCGATGTTGAGGGTGCGGAGCCCGTGCATCTGTCGCACCATGCGGTTGATGCCCTCGTCGCTGATGTGGCAGGAGCAGAGGGAGAGGGAACGCAGCCCGTCCAGGCCCTGTGCGATATAGGCTAAGCTCTGGTCCCCCACCTTGTCGCAAAAGGAGACGTCGAGGCCGGACAGCCGCAGGCTGCCCATGGCCAGGTGCATGATGCCCGTGTCGCTGATGTTGTCGCAGGAGC